TCATATTTCCCATTTTAAATTTGTGTTCCACTGAAATTAACAGTTATTGTTTTTTTTGGTTGAAAATGATTACACATGTAAATTTGAGATTGCTCGTGTTGTAGCCACGCCACCTATCTTAAAACAGTTGACTGTTTACAGCTTTTCTGACTCCAGCCAAAATAAAAGGGCGCCAAAATACATAAAAATAAAATTGGCGTAGATTGAGTTTGAAACCCATTTTTCACTTTAACAATTTATTTTGTGCTTAATAACATATCAAATAATAATATTGATTTACTAATAAATGATTTTAGGGGCCAGAAAATAGCAGGCATTTCACAGACACTTTAAAGTGCTGCTGTCTTGACCATAAATGTAGTGTATTTTTTGTTTTGTTTTGTAGCTTATCAACTTGGACATATCGTGGTGTGAAGACGTGACCGATTCAGGTTTACTGTCTATAGCTAAATCCTGTACTTCCCTTGCAAGTTTAAAAATGAGAAAGTGTCCTGCCTCAGATATTGCTTTAATAACTATATCAGAGAATTGTCCAAATATCAAACAAATAAGTCTGTCTGGAGCGGATAAAATCACCAATGCGGGTATTACTGTCATGGCAAAGTCGCTTTCGTGGTTGGTATTTGTAGATATCAGTTGGAATTCAAGTAAGTACTATTCTTTAAACGCAGCCAATGTCGCATTGTATTGTTGTAGAGGCAGTGGTTGTCACATTGCATTGTTTTAAAGGCAGTGCTTGTTGCATTGTATTGTTTTAAAGCTACTGTTGTATTGTTCGTCTGGAATATATCTCACTTTTTCAAAGAGCGAACATTTATTTTTTTAACCTTAAAAATCTGTAAGTAAAGGAGGTCATAAAATGCACATAAATAACATACAAATCAAATCAGACAAGTATCACTACTGTAAACTGAACAATTTTGGTTTAGACAGGTTTCAAAAAAGTAACACTTTTTTTAACTGAAATTGGTGTAGGTATGTGGTACTATGTGGACTACGCTAAATAGCTTACTGTAGAATACTTTATTTTCGCTTGGACTTAATTTTTGCTATTTTCGCTGAAGGAATGAATCAGTGAAAATAGAATCAAGCGAATATTCGTTTTTTCCTATATTTTACATTTCACTTGTCAAAAATTAGTGAAAATAAAATCCATACAAAACACCCAAAGAATCTTTTCAGCGAAAATTAATTTCAGCTAAAATAAAGTATTCCACAGTATTTATATTGTGTAAAACATAAAGTTTCAACTACTTTATTAGTCCCCGTTCGGACGCAGTCCGAAAACGGGGACTTATGTTTTGCCCTGTGTGCGTCCGTGCGTCCGTGCGTCCG